ATTCTATTAGTCTTTTATAGTTTCTCCTAATACATGCATATATCTAACTGCAAATGTTTACAGTATAATCTTGATTTCTAAAATAAGTTAATTTTTTTTAACTTTCACTTGAAACTACTTTAAAGTCAGAATATATTTTGCATTTTATTCACTGAGTCATCTTGGTTATCAGTTTAATAATAAGTTCCCGTATTAATCTTTATTGGAGTGTTTGTACAGCCAATCAGAGCACTTCTTCAGACACCCTGCTTGATTCTAGTAAGACTGGCTTCAAGTATATCTGCCCAGCAGAACCTATAGTTTTATAGTTGTGTTCAGTGACATTGGGGTTGGTTTACTAAAGGCAAATAGACTGTGCACTTTGCAAGGAGATTTTTACTTTGCAGGGAAAATGTCCCCTTAGTTTAGTGAATGAGGTAAAGCTCCACTGACTTCCATCACCCAGTCATGTTCAAGCAAAAATACTGGTATTTGCTGTTAGTAAATCAACCCCATTGCATGTGACCATTGTGCAGACATACCCCTAGATTTAATGTAAAAAAAACAGTGTTCATTTTCTTAAAGTAACACAAAACTCAGGAGTTAAATCTTAAAAATGCATTCAAGTACCTCAACTATTAACATATATGTATCTTATTTATGTATCACTGTAGATCCTCAAATCATCCCTGAATTCATACTGACACTGTCCTTCCTTCTGGTGGTTAGCTACTTTTGTTCCCCATGGTCCCTTTGTGTTTGCAAAGAAGCCACTACTCCAAGATCGCACCCGTGATAGACTACAATCTCCCATTTAGTTTACTAATTTGTATTGATATTGTAGTGTAATGATGGGCGTGAGCTTGGAGCAGTGGCTACTTTACAACACACACAGGGACCATGGGCAACAAAAGTAGCCACCCTCTAGAAGGAAGGACAGTGTCAGCACCAATTCTGAGATGATTTGAGGATCTACAGCTGAGTGATACACAAATAAGATACATTTTTGTTAATAGTTGAGGTAATTGAATGCATTTTAAGATTTAACTCCTGAGTTTAGTGTCACTTTAACTGACTGCATACACTTTGCAAACACTGTAAAGGTATTGTTTATTGGTGCTTTGCTGCCCATTATAAAGACCATTTTCTAGCAATTACATCTTTCACTCAGGTCTAGATTTCTTAAACAATTGAACAGATCAACTAATGTGTTTCCTGGATTTGTTTGTTTTACAATAAAAAGCTGGTTTAACCACTTAAAGGCCATAGTGTTTCACCCCCTTCCTGGCCAGGCCATTTTTCAGTATTCAGTGCTGCGGTACTTTGACTGACGTTTATTCCGTCATGCAACACTTTACTGAAACGATTTTCATACCATTTTTTGGGGACAGATAGAGCTTTCTTTTGGTGGCTTTTATTCACCAATGGGGTTTTTATTTTTTACTATATAACAAAAAAAGTACCATAAATTTTGAAAAAAAAACATGTTTCCCTATAAAATTTTATTAAACATTTATTTTTACCCCAATTTTTTGGTACAATATAAAAGACGGGGTCACGTCGGGTAAATAGACACTAGACATGTCAACCTTTAAAATTGCGCACCCCGCGAAATCGCAGAAAACGACAGCAGCCAAAATTGGCCATAGGCGACGCTTTAAACATTTTTACCGCTCATCAGTTTAGTGTTATCAGTGATTGATGGCCCTAGAATTATTGTTCTCACTGCGACGTTCGCGGCGATATGTAACATGTGCTGCATAATGGGCGCAATCGTCGGTTTCGTACATAGGCGCACCCGACGCATGTTTGCGTGTGTATGTGGGGGGCGGGAAACTTTAAAAAAAAAAAATTTTATTTTTTTGTATTTTTTTAGCTTCTTTATTTTTTTTAATGCTGTAATTTTTTTATCCTTTGATCTCCTGTTCCCAGCCGCACCGGCCACAGCGGACATCGGATGACGGGACCGGCAGCGGCGACGGGACACAGGTGGGGGGGGGGCGCACACCCGCAGATCGTGCAAGCAATCGGGCGTCTCTAGAGACGCCTGATCGCTTGTATGTAAACAGTCATCGCTGGCTGTTTACATGCTAACAGTTTTCCCTCTCGTGTGCGGCGCTCAGCGCGCGCACGAGAGGGGGGGAGGGGCAGGACGTCTTAAGACGCCCACCTGCTCTGAGCAGACTTCCGTCCGGCCGTTCACAAACGGCCATGGACGGAAGGTGGTTAAAGTAGCTGACATTGCTAGAAGATCACCTGGATGTATTTGAGCACTCCAGTTGGCAGCTTTGTCTATAGTGTTTTTTTCAGAAAAAAAATCGAATTTCGCTTGTTCTCAGTATGTCACCATTATATGATATATCCTTACTGAATTGTGCATTTCTGAAGAAAGTGAATATTGTTTAACAATTTTCAATTCTTTAATATCTAAGAATGGTGTACAAATTACACTTAGCTACAACTTTAAATTGTTGGATGCACTGTAAATCTTCCTATAGATTCATAACATTTGAGTCCAGTATCCTAATTAGAATGGAGCAGAAAACCAGGTCAGGCCAATAGTACTCTAACTAAATGTCATCTATTTCTGATCATCAAATGCTTTAAAACGATGATGGATAAGGGCACCCATAAACGTGAAACAACAGTTGCCCAAGTCAGCTGACAATTTCTCATCTTATATGCGTTAATGTGCCCATACACCTTACAATTATCGGCCCATTTTGGCCGAAAATCGGCCAGTTGATGGGAAGTGTATAACCAAAATTACTGGACATCTGTCCGATTTTCGACTTTCAAGCCGCCTAAAAAAAATTTCATTGAGTTGGAGGAAAATCAACAGATTATGATTACAATGAAAACTAGGATCGCACAATGAAAACTGCAAAAACGAAAGTTTGGTCTTTCGATCAACGAAAATCGGCCAGTTAGCGGTGCTGACATATGGTAATCACAAACTACATTGGTCTGTGCATGATGGGCTGTTTGAACGGAAATTGAACAAGGGTGCAATTTCGGGACAAAAAAAGAAGTACAATGGTAGTAAGGTGTATGGCCACCTTAACCCTGCTAAGGCTGCATGGGGAGATAGCAATTAGACAGATTAGAAAACCATGTTAAGTTGCAGTTGATCTCCCTATAATAATCAAGTGCCAGTAGCATGACTTCCTTACCGCTGTCCATAGGCTAAAGATGCAAAGGTGCCCTAAGGACCCCACTTGTGTTTAGGATCCTGCCAAAAAATGCAGATGCCTGCAGATAGCCATCTCTAATTAATGAAAACGTATTTATAGCTTGTCTCTACCATCCCTTCACAAATTTACCACAATGTAAAGAATGCAGAATTGTACGTTAGCATTTAAATGTTGAAATGAGACCTACCTTTTCCTGCTACATGGAGCTGCTGTTAAAGCTACCTGTGCATCTGTGCTTGATATGTGAGAAATAAAGTACATTTACATGGGGGGTGGGGGGTAGTCGGCAAAGAAATAAGTCAGGGCAGAGCACATGTGTAGATCCTAATTTGCTCCTGTCATGTCTTTTGTATTTTTCACAAGTCTAAAGCAACATGTTTCAACATGACGGCAGCAGGATACGTTTGAATAAAATACCTGTCAACAGGACGTTGAAGATTGTTATTTTCCTGTGTACAAACTTAAGGGAAAAAAAACCTAAATTATACGTGCTGTGAATTACTAGTATGAGGTCATGAAAATATGATGTTATTTCAGCAAATCAGTTTAAGTAAAACCAACAGACACTTAGTCTGCAGCACAGATTAATTAAAGATGACGGAATATCCCTACCACTTAGCTGTAAAACCTTATTTAATCGCACTACATTACAGATCATTGACTATTGTACCCAAGCCATAACAATGGAGTTTAAAGGAAGGTAGTTGATTATGAACAAGCTTAGACTGTTGAAAGTAGACATGTGCAACCTGTAGCATTCTAGATGCAGTGGAACTACATGTGCCAGCATGGTAGTAACGCAGCATATTGCCTTAGGGTATATTCATGTTGGTGTTTCTGCTCTTTAGCGAAACATTATGCAACTCAATTAGATATGAAAAAAGGGGTGATTCATGACTGTTGACTGCAAGTATTATAACTGGATATAACAGAGAAAATCACTAGGATGTACTGCAACTATCATAGGTCCAGCATTTCCCCCCTTTTGCCTTAGATGTTCAGTACAGTCCATTCGGTTTTATTAAAACTAATGACCTTTTTTGATCAGATCTGGCTGACATACTGTGAATTTTACTGATAGTGCCCAGCTGTCTATTCTCAGCCAATGCACCATGCAAGCTATATTGTGTCAAACACCATCATGTAAGTGCATAACAGCCATTGTTTACTTCTGATATACACCAAGTACAGTTCAACACTGTTCACCAGCCATAGAAACACAATACTGAGCAGACTGTATATGCAGTACAGTTTGCATTCTTGTAGTATATACTGGGGACTTTATTAGGTAGGAAACTGCAAGTCTGAAAATGAAGCACAATGCCAATGTGCTAGAACATATTATAGATCAGCTAGAGAATACACATAAAATCAGATTAGTTGTCTTTTTCATAATAACCGTCCTAAATACAGTGAGTGCATCCTCACATCCAATCACTATTAGTACTTTGCCATTGGCAATAGAACTATTTATTTTGCTATTTATCCTCAATTCAGCCTTCATCCTGAGTTGCTTGGACTAGTTTGAATATCAGGCAAAAGCATCACAAGACTGGATCTAGTGGAAGGTGAACCATATAGTACCTAGCCCCCTAATGTTTAGCAACCTTCATAAACACAGCTATTTGAAACGTGGTTAGCCCTTTGTGCTTTCCATGTTTATATTTTGTAAGACATGATACTTGCAAAGTGCAACCTCAAAGTACATTGTGCAGAATATTGCCTGTAAGAGTGAAGGTACACCTTAAATGTAATTAACTGTTACAAGTGACATGTAAAAAGAAACCATATGCAACATATGTAAAATGCTTAGACAGGTCAATTTACCTTGTTCTGGGGAGCATCTGATCTTTCCATTGTAGTAGCAGAACCTGGTAGAGATACTTCTGATCTTGAATCCAAGCCCATAACATTAGATGAACGTGGGATTCAAGCTGCAAGGATCGTTTTCATCTAAAGCCAGTACAAGGAGCATGAGATTAAGTCTCTTTGGGCACCTGCTAGGAGAGTCTAAAAGTTTTATCCATAAAGAACCTGCATCTCTCATTAATGGCAATGACTCATCGGGAAGTGTAAAGAAGACTTATAAATTAATAGTTCACTTCAAGTCTAAACTTCTCCTTGAGAAAAAAAGGTCTCTAGAAAGGTGTGCTTGTCATTAAATGGATTATTGGGCGGATGTTGGCAGCATAATGGGCTCAGAGGTGTATATGAAATTGGCTTGCAACTTGTCGTTAACCTTGTCTTCTTTTTGAAAGCTTCCGTAAACCAACATTTATAACCAAAAAAACTTGTATTACATATTATTTAATAAAAACTGAAAACTGGTTTGAAAATCTGTTTCTTTACACCACAAATCATTGCCAAGTTAGTTCAGGAGTTTTCTTTACCCATAATAGTGACCAAAGCAATGAGCATGTTATATGACCATTCTAACATTATATGTTTTCATGAATTCTTCAGCATTTTGCATTAGTAAAATCAAAAACAAAATAACAAAATTGGCTGCATATGAACTTTAAGGGGCCAGTGCACCCTTAACCTAAAGGGTATGGAAATAATTATGGGATTTGTAATGGCTGACTTATTTTCTAAAGCCTCTAGAGTATGAAAAAATCTCTTCCAAGTAAACGGGATTCCCCTCTTAGACAGTTGTCACCATTGAAATAAATATCCTTACCTATTATTGTGGTGACAGTTTAAAGGTTCTGGATCACTGTGTCACTGACAGCCGTTGCCAGGACAAACAGACAGGGACAGAGATAAGTTATTTTTTTTACTTTTACTTGAAACTACTTTAATATTAGAACGCGTTTTATATTTTATTTACCGAGTCGTCTTGGTTATTTTTTTACCATCAGTTTAATTATAGGTTCACTTATTAGCCTTTATTTTCTTTCCATAACAGCGACTAAAGCAATAATCATGCTAAAGGGGAGTGCTAACATCTAACATATGTTTTTATGAATTCTGCTGCTTTTTTTTTAGAGCCGGTAAAAGGTTTACACATAAGAAAGCCACTGTTTGTGGCACAGCTTATTTACACGAGTGTTTTGTAATGAGGAGTATTAAAAAGAAAGCCTGCATGCTACAATATTAATTTAATAAATATAATTTTTAGATATGAACACAGAAAAGCGCCAAAAAGGACTACTCCGCCAGTATGGACCAATATAAGCACAAGTGTAATCAGAAACAAGTCTGTTAAAAAATATATAAATAATAAAAAGCACGTGTGTAGAAAGGTCTGCAGGATGCTGCCCCCAAACCAGCCAGGGAGACCGCAAAATCTAGGGAAAAAAACACAAACAGGGGGCGCCTTTCCTGGTGCAGACAAATTTATTAATATCAGGATCAAAGGTAGATAAAAAACATACTCACAAAATTCAGCATTTTAGTGGATTTCAATTTGCTGGGTGCTATCATGCTCCGTAGATCTTTCGGTCTCTTGAAGATCACACTAGGGAATTTGGGAAGGGATTCCCTAAAGAGTGGATCCTCCTCGAGGATCCGCCAATGTTTCTTGAGGATTCTAGTTATCTTGAAGGCTCCATCGTTATATTGTGTACAAAAATTTATTTTAAAGGATTGACTGTCTGAACGAGCTTTTTTGGGGCGGGTAATAAGATGTTTGTTATAGGCCCTCCGTCATCACACATCACACAGTCTCCTCTGCTGACACATAGACACGATTGTGCAGCTTCCATAGACTTTCTGTTGGGTCCATGGACTTATTGTTAATTATCATGCTGAATTTTGTGAGTATGTTTTTTATCTACCTTTGATCCTGATCTTAATAAATTTGTCTGCACCAGGAAAGGCGCCCCCTGTTTGTGTTTTTTTCCCTAAATATAATTTTTACATTTAAGTCAACTGGGGTCCTTTTAAAACACAAAAACATATTGGAGCAGTTAGTGGTTGATGGGAACATGTAAATAAGGACCAAATTAATAAACTGTTGAACTGTTTGATGAAACTTGCAGAGTTTATATGCATGTAATTTATTGCAAGTTAATCAGCTTTGTCAGTGCCTAGTGAGCTCACACTTATCTTAGTCATTAAGGGTGACCATAAAATCTAGTGACATAAATGACTGGAGTATGGCTTGTGATAATTGTCTTATCTGTCTTTGGCATTTTTTACATCATTTTGGAAAATTTCTTCCTTGACACTAATTATTTCCTTTTGTATTTTGAAGGTGAACGAACCTTTCATGCATATGCATTGCAAGTTTAGTGTTAATGTTTAGGAAAAGATCATAGTGGCTGCTGGTGGTGCAGTGATTAGATTAAGCATTGTGGCATCTCTCCACCTGTTATTCTTGCTAAATTATCTGATCATCTGTGGCCAACAGTCCAGCATAGAACAAATTTTGCCTCGGTAACAAAAATCACCATAACACCCCATACCTTAGTGACAGCAGAGGGCTACTTTTAGTTGCTCAGCTAGCCCAGAGTTAGCACAGTCCATACTCCATTGAGCGTGTTGTGGAATGAAATACATGCCATGGAATACAACAAACCAAGTTCCAGATAAAAAATATTCCCTATTATTATTTCCTATGAAGATTGCTCATCATGGCAGACCCATTTGATAAGACTTTGTTCCCTATGTAGTGCAGGCTGTACAGAAGCTATGCCCTGAAAAGTAGTGCTCTGGTATGCATTTCTATAGTGGTTTTTGTTGCTGAGTCTTGGTTAAAAGCAGTGCTCTGATGAAAGCTTCTTAAAATAACACTTGTCCTTATTAATTTATCATTATTTACTGGATTGAGACTTTCAATCCATTACATAAATAATAAAGTGTGAAAAATGGTTCCTGTTTAAACCCCAAACTAAGATAAGGAAGTGAGCATAATTTAGAAAAATGTAGGCAATGCTGTACTCTGACACCTATCTGAAGCCTGACACCTGTTTTTCATCCATTTTCTCTTGTTTCATCATTCAGTCATTGGCACGGATGCAGGCTCTAACTGCAGTTTAGCTTAAGTGTAAATGCAGTGAAAAATTATTGTGAACAGCTAATAAACCTCGCCATGCATAGTTTGTAACGTGTGCAGCTAACTGTTTTCATGTCTATATAAATGTAGTGCTTAAACTGTAGGTTTGCATGATCAATGAAGAAGGGAACAGCCAGTAGTTTCTGAACAAGTGGATCCACTGTGTATCAATGCTTTAAAGTGTGAAATCCAGCCATCTCTTTTTTAGTTACATTTGTCAGTGGTATAGGAATTGAGGTACATTTCCCAAATGGAGAAACAAATAGTAATAGAAACTTGGCAGAAGTTCTAACCCTTCCCCACTCACTCACAGGCTGGAGTACTACTCCAGTAAATAAAAAGCTGAATTAGTTGTAGGACGTTTAAACCAATTAAAAATATAGTTTAAGTGTGTAATTGTATATAATTGACCTATATCAAATTTACAACGTCTATACTTTATTACCATCCAATCTCTATCATTTGATTGAAGTTACAGTATACTGGCATAATACAGACATATTAGAGGAATACTGGACCACTGCACTGCTGGGGCAAATTATCATCACATGGGTTACTTTAACTAGAATTGCTCACTACTATGAAAACTCGAGATTACACCGAAATGAGTTTGCAGAGGTTGTATTTCTTTAAGGTTAAAGACAAAAAGCATTTAATTGGATAGGGCTGAATACTAGAAGACAATTGGGTGCCAAAAAAACTAACCCCCAACAATATTTTATATAGAAGCACAAACACAGATGTTTTTCTTTGAATTATTTCAGCTAAAGCTTTCATACAAGAAATTAGGTTAACATGGCCCAATAATAACATAATAATCTTACATCCCAAAATTAACAACCATCAACGCAAAAACATTATATCCAATGAAACAGGTCCTTAACAGCTCCTCCATAATCACATTCCCTTGGTCACCCACACCAGCCAGCCATTGTGCACCAGCTTGGTGGATACACACCGCACTAACACAGTTCAAATCTTGCCATTCTATGGGAGTACTCTCTACCACAATCCCCATTAAATTCAAGCATAGATGCATATAACAACCCGTCTCCCTAAAAAAACCGAATGCGTTTCTTTACTTTTTGGCACCCTCATTTCATCCTTTTGTCCCAGGATAAAATCACTGTTGAAATGTACCAAGAGGCGGGAATGCACCACACACGCTGTCTGATTCCTCTTTTAGAGTCTACACAGAGAATTAGACATATGCGTGGGCAAAAAAATCTTTTAGTTTTCATTCTGATTTTTCGTCATTTAATTTTTCGGGATTTGGGCCCAAAAGTCAATTCGGTTCGGGATACAGATTCGGACAAATCCGATTTTCCTTTAATTTCGTTAGCAGTAGTATGTAGGAAGTTTCGTTACAAACAGATTTTCGCTACAGCAAAGTGACATCAGACAAAAGGGGGAAAAATTAATTTTTCTTTTACAGTCTGCAGAAGAAAAAAAGTTTGAGGTTCCCCCCTAATTGATACCAGACCCTTTAGGTCTGGTAGGAATGTTAGGAGGGACCCCCCCAACCTTAAAAATAAAAAAAATTGTGCGTGGGTTTCCCCCTAAAGTCATGCCAGACCCTTCAGTAGGAATTTCAAGGGAGAAGCGTACCCCCAAAAATGGGGCAGGGAACGCATAGGGTCCCCTCTGAAATTCCTACCAGACCCCTGATCAAAGCACAGGCCCAGCAGGGCAGGAAAGGGGGGAACAATTAAGCGCCCCCTCCCTACGCTATACCAGGCCACATGCCCTCTGCATTGGGAGGTTGTCCCCATGTCGATGGGCAAAAGGGTGTTTTCCCCACAACCCTGGCCCAGTGGTTGTTCGGGCGGGCAGGCAGAGGGGTTTATTTCCATTAGGGTACCCCTTTAATTAAGGGGGCAACCAGATGCCGCCACCCCCCCTTTTGAATGAGTAAGGGGTAAGGAGTAAGAGCGAGCCGTGACATCACGGGGCTTGTTCTGCCCATTTGACATTCTGAGCTGTCAAAGAACATAATAGCATTCGTGAGCTCTCAAATGCTATTCGTGAGCTCTCAAATGC